AATAACAATAACGATAATAAATATATAATAATCATTTTAGATGATATATTATAGTTAATCTTGGTCTGTAATGATAATAATAAAATATACGCCGTTACATTATGACAGAAAACGCTGAAGTGCCAAACTCATTGCAGATACAAAAAGGCGGACATACTTCGCTACTGTCGGAGCAGCCACTGTCGTAGATGGGAATTTGGGAATACAGGATAATACAGAAGGGAACTTAATGTATATATAATATCTATAAGCAACGATAAACCATTGCTAACGAAAAAACGATTCTGAGTGGAGTTCAGTTGATACTTTGTCAATAGTATTTATATATATATATATGTATATGTAATATTATAGTAAAATAATTAAAAAGGTATTATATATTTTCTTTAATAATATTTGTTTGATATTATACCAATTTTTCCGTTTTTCCTATGTTTTTCTCGGTTTGTCAAACTTGCTGGGAAAACACTTAGAAAAATCTAAAGTACCACCCCAGTGCGATTTTCTTTCAGAAAAGACGTTAAACTTAAAAATCGGAGCAAGATTTCTCATAAAAAGTTGTCTACACATAAAAAAAAACATAAACATCTTTGTAAAACTATAAGCTTCTCCGCTCCACTCAGGATTTAAAACGGAACTTAAATGACAACTCTGGAATATACTGCGATTTATACTACGGGTGCTAGATTCATATGTATAACGTAAATATGCATTCCGGCCGTAAACCCTACTTGTTCGTCGTGACCCAGTTTACACGTGGATTCTTGTGAAAATGTTATATCATGTTCTACGAAAATTCGTTACGGATAAAATATTGTAAATATTTAACCCTACTCCTCTTAAATTCAGCTGCGGTTAACAAAAAAAAATATCGAAAAAATACTCGGTGAGGTACAACAGAGTTCCAAAGTCACTAGGAATCGAATTTTTCCTCGCCACCAATGCTCGAATTGGAAAAATAAAATAAAATGGCCTATGATCCTTAATAAAACAAAGAAGTAGCGTTCCTTGAAATAATTAAATTCAAACTTACTCGTGTAGGCTTTGCTCCTTTACACCCTATTTACACCAGTTTTCAAAAATAATTTAACAGACAAGTATAATCAATAACACTACGAACTATAAGACAACTTATAGAATACCTCAAACATTGGTACACTAATTGTCATTATTAATAAAATTAATAAGTAATTACAAATTTTGATGTAATATTATATATGCGTGTATAAAATAACAATTGAAATATGTTAAGCTTTTTACTACATTTATATATCTTTTATTAATATTACAAGTTAATAAATTTTTACTAAACTTCATGTTTATTCTTCATAACAAATATCGTCCTCTTTATTGTGGCACACTTCATCAGCAGATATTTTTTCCTTCGTTTAGAAGTGTTGGTATATCGCTGAAAAATTGTTCCATACAACTTGTATGGCTTTTTCACTCAATGCAATCATATCGTATTGTAAAAACTTTCTTTATGCATAGTAATTTATGTTCCAAAAATGCAGCACACGAGTTAAATTCATTTAAATTTATATGAAGATTGATGTGCACAATGTGCAGTTGGAAATTATTAATACCGCACTACCATTAACTTCTTTTCGAATAAAACCTACTGCGAACTCCAAATTATGATTACAGCAATATGTCATACTATATTAAAATTCTTCTCGTTTCTTTTGAAAAATATCCAATTTATAATGCTACAAGATTTATTAGTACATACAAATTCAACCCAAGTTTAGACCATTGACCGATTGTAAATCCACAAGTTTGGGCCTAAAGTCGTTGATTTTTTGTCATACGGTACCTGAGCAGTTCAGAAAACTTTTCTAGTTGTTTCCTATTAATTATATGTACCATATATTATTTAATACGATGTGTATATATATATATATACATACAGTGAGACCTTTAAATACCGGAATCTTTAGATCACTAAATTGTGTACGTTATTTAGAGAGAGAAATTGTATTTTTATTCAATTAGTTTATTAAATACATTTTATTTTATTTTATTTTTATATTAATTAAATACACCTTAAATTTACAATATTTCATCGACGTGATAATATGTCAAAGACTGGACGGATAATATAAGATATACTTCATGTACATTATAATAATTTATAGCAATAAAAGATAACTTAATAGTATAGACTTGTATTTAGGTGTTTTACAATAATTCTTGATTTACGATAAAAATGATAAATAATAATGTTAAAAATTGTCCGTTATTTAGAATGTCCTGTATATAGTTTTCCTACACACAAATAGTGAAAATTTCCCCGTTCCCGAAAAACGTCCGCTATTTGGAGGTTTCCGCTAAGGGAGGTTGTATATATATTATGTACGTAGCTAATAGTTTTTTTCTACGTCACACCCGACTCTGAGTCGAGTACCCTCCCCCCCCCATAAAACACATGTACCTATAATCATAATTTACGACGATGTGAACCGCATAGTTTTGAAAACATTCGTGACCGTCGTCATCGACTACTATTATTACATACTTTATTATACTTGTATGCACTATATATTATTGTAATACGTAAGTATAAAGCGGGCGGCGCGCAGTGTATTTAAATCACAATCGAAAAACTTTTGGAACTTTTAAACACAGCTACGCACCGCACAGTTCTCTACGCTCGTATCTACACGAAGGCTGAATGTATCTGCCCGTACACAAAAGGAACACATAATTAAAGGGTTCCTCGGCGTTATCAAAGTTTTTGGTAACGCACGAAATTATAATATTGTGCATGATGTGTGCGTAAAGTGTATACACTAGCGTAGAGTACGGGTTCCCTACTCGAAACGAGAAACGCACGCGAATAGATCTTAGATACCTCTTGTAGCTTATCGTGTTCACTGTAATTTGAATAAAATATGTATACGTTAAAGGACAGCCGAATATGCGTTAAAAATTGACTAAGTACCTAACCTAACAGTTTGTAAATAACGGAAACAACAAACAAATATCGAAACTAATTTTTTGATAAATATTATTATTGACTATTACTATTGTCAAATATGTGTTTGAAATACGTGTTTAAAATATTGATAAAATCGGAAAATATGCAAAATAAAAGTCAGATTTTTGTAGTGTAGACACCACATAAAAATTAACAAAAAAAAAAAATTAAATAAAACGTAAACATCTCAAACCTATATTTGTTACAAAATTTATAAAATCGATAACACACGAGTTCAATGACGTCAACAATAAACACGGTACTCTGGTTTCAAGTGTTTTTCACAGTCGGTCCGAACCAAAAAGAATAATAGTGTTTGACGTGCAAAACTTAAACCCACTATCTATACAGTCAATGAAAAATCGTGGTGATTTTGGATGAATCAGTAAAACGAAAACAAAGAAATAAAAACTCGAAAAAGTTCGTCTGTGATCGTCGAATTCGAACCGGACAATATCGATTATAATACATATATAGATATCCTTTTTTAATCCTTTATGATACCGTCCAAACGCGCTTTGATGCGTAAAGTACTTACGCCGTGTTAACCAATCAGAGAATTCCGTTTATACGGTCGTGGCTCGTTTTAAACACCAGGGAACGTTAATACGCGTACGGGTCGCTATCCTAAATAGGCGGAAGGTTATGCTAATATCATAAAATAACATTATACCGTAGTACAGTTTTGGAGTGAAAATTAAATTTCCCGATGCACAACAAACTCCGTCACGTTATAACCAAACGTCGAAAACTGTGAACTATACTTGCAACGGTAGTATATTATAATTTTCGTCGTATGTTTACGTCCGCACGGAAGTTATCGAATAAAATATTAATGTCTGCCATAACGGCAACCTCCTCGTCGACTTACTACAACGCATCGTCACGCTATGTGTACAACCAGTTATGCAGGTACGATTGAAAATCATAATAGGTCAAATTTACAAAAAAATGCAGACAAATTTAGAAATTCGATTTGTATACTTTCCTACATGTTAGCGGTGCGTACAAAGGTGACGTTTTGTATTAATTGTAATAATTGATTTGGACGCGGTATAAAATCGAACGGAGTCGTCAATAACATCAGCGATAAAACGATTATATTGTCACTTCCTTAAATTGTTTTTAAACCGGAATAATACAAAATTGTTGTTTAAAATCAGTTTAAATTTTAAAGTAAATGTCACATGCAGGTAATTGCTGTATTTACAATTTATGATAATTTAAAAACAACTCACTCGTAACGGGCTGTAGTTGCACATTACTTCCGTTCCTCGTCGTCGTCTACGTAGGGGCGTCTTTATAGGGGGACGATAGGGGCGATCCCCCTACTCCCCGAGAAAAGTGGACTAACATTGGCATTTGACATAGTCCAAAAGTAGATAATATAATCAATATATCATTTGACATAATTTTTTTCTTATCGATCATTAATATTAAATTTAATTATTTCCCCCCCCCTTATATTCAAGGTCCGGAGACGCCCTTGCGTCGACGCCGTAATAATATTATTCGAAACGCACTGCACTCCGAGGGGTAAACGTCAATAATAACATTTTTAGTGCGCCGTAGCCGCCACGATCAAAAGGACATGAGACCGTATACGTGTATTGTATCAGTTACCGATATCATAGTCCGCCCCGATTTCTTTTCTTTTGGCTCCTCCTCCGGGGAGCCGGTCGAATTTCGCAAAGCCGTCCGGTCGTCTCGGATCCATATCGGGTGACCTTTGCGCGCGAAATGACGTCGAGTTTTCGGGCGCGGTCCGCGGTCGGGATTTAATGAAATACGCGGACCGGCCGACGATCGGTCGGCAATTTATTCGGCGCTGCTATATTATAGTTTCCGATTACCCTGCTGTATTGCACGTACATTGCGTACTTACAGGTATTAGGACTCCGGTTATTACCGTCTGCGATACGACTTTCCTTACACCCGGTTGCGCACGCCGCAATGTTAATTTACCGCCGTACCTCTGGAGGTTTCTCTTGTATAATTGCCGTCGCTAAGAGGTCGGATTTCGCCAAACTCCAGATTCCGCGCCTCTCGTCTACGGGCGGTTTAATCGAAATATTCGCGGCGGATTTCAATTTTCCCCTTTCCTCCATTTTCCCCTACTCGGAAGAGTAGGAAAGAGTGGAGGGGGGTACTTCCCTCTCGTTGAACGGGAAACCGCGTTTCGACGACGAGTCCGCGGCGGCGTCCGGGCAAACGAGAATACCTTGCTCCGGTGGCTCCGTTCGTGAACAATGGAGGGTACCTACGCGCGTACCACATTATTTTACCGCCGCCGCGACAAGAGACGAAAACGCGAACGAAATGCGTACCTATTATACGATACAGAATGATATTAACAAAAAAAACCGACGAGACGCGTTGTTATTATTTATAAAAATCAATTAAAATAATTTACCATCATCGGGGCTCATAACTTTAAGAATTTTCATTTTGTAAACAGGTGAAATATTCAAACGGATATTTGATACTTTTCGTCAATAGCCAATATAAATAAACTGATATACTATTTCATAAACTATCGTGTATTATCATCTAGATAATAACCAACCTAACCTAACCTAACCTAACCAAGCCCGTCATTTTTGAAAGTATGATAATCTGTATCTTGAATGTCATCATCACAGTCAAATGATGAGTCAGAGTTACACTTATCATATGAAAGTTGTCTTATTTTATTATTGCTATTCGTTTAGAAAAAAAAATAACAATGATAATAACTAAATAACACTATGTCCGTTATGAATCAACTATTAACTTACTTAAAGTAAAAATAATAAATTAACATATTTTATAATCAGTCTTGTTAATTATAAATTTGTAACTAAAAATAGCAGAAGTAAAGTAGGCACTAAAATAATTTCACCAATATGTAAATATAATAATTATTATTGGTAATGTGGAAACTGGAAAACAATAAATATATAATGTTACAATAACAATTTACAGTGTATGCAGACCAACCGTTCTTCGCAAAAACCAGACTCGAGTCCGGGCTTATCTGGTTCTTGCTCACAATATCTTAAACCATGTCTTAAGTCCATTTGCTCAATAACTCCGTAAATAATAATTGAAATTGTCTCGTTCTTCCATAGAAGTATAAAAAAAAAATATAAGAGTATAAGAAAACATCAAAAAGTGATTTCCCAAAAAAAGTGAACTTGTTGCGGGGAGCCCTTCGTTTAGTAAATTGTAAGTCGTACATTTACATTTCCGTATTACACAGAGGGAATTGTAGGACATTTTGTTTTTGTTCACACATTTTTTTTTTGTCGGTGACGTTGACCCGAACGGGCGAGATAACGATTTTTACCTTTTTCCTCCCTCTTCTCGTTTGTCGAAAATACCAAATCGTCCGGAAACCCGTTGTTTGGATATTATTATTATTATTTTTCGAATATTCGCCGAAAACAATCGAGTACATATACCTAATATATTTTTATTACAAACGATCGCGAAACTTGCAGCCGAATACACTGTGCACTTTTTTTTTTCGCTTATCCAACGACGGCGATGCAGTCGTTTGTTTTTATCGATATAATACCCCACAGCTGGCTATTATAAAACGCGTGTGTTTTGTTGTTCGGTAGTTTTCATTTTTTTTTTTCCTTCTTCTTTTTGTCGTATCGTCGATCGTCTTTTCCATTAGGAAACGTGCCATCGGCGAGGGTATAAATAAATTATAATAAATAATAATATATATTATATTTTATACGCTGAGATACGGTCGCAGACTCGTATAAAAAATATATATATACATATATTATATTTTCTATCTCGGTTTCCATTGTGTATTATTGACGACAACGACCGACGATGTTGACGTTGATGATCTATAGGCTCATGGAAGAGAAAAAAGATTTTTATTTTTTTTTTTTTTTTTCGAGAATTAAAATCGGTCAGAAGGGATGACTAAACATTTTATTACCATTATTATTATTATTATTATTATTATTATTATTATTATTGTTATTATTATTATTATTATTTTCCAACGACGGTTATACGCCCGTCTAGTGCCTCGGTTTTCACCTCCTCTCTCCCCGGTCATCCCTTACACATGTTATGTTGTTCGGCGTAGATTTTCGCGGCCGAACCATCAACGCGAGGCTATCGGGTTTTACGATGATGCGCACTTTTATTATTATTATTATTATCATCGTCTTTTTTTTTCCCCGTCCTTTTTCAACCGAAAAAACACATTTCGCCGGCGCAGTATAAACGCGTGTGTTTTCTATCTACTACGACATATATATTCAATCCAACAGAAAACCAGAACGCGTAAAGTGTATTTCGAGTACCCTTGTCTGTAGAAGATCGCGCGAAATTCCCATTATTTTTTTTTTTTTTTTTAGTGTACATTGTCCCATAAATGGATAAGAATAAATATAAAAACTTCGACAAGACGACTGAATTACTACGGTGTATATATGCATGTGTAGGATTTCGTTTTACACTTATATTATATGGCCGGTCCGAAGTGCCCGAATTTGTTTGTTCCGCGCATTCGAAACAACGCCGCAAACTTTTTTTTTTTTATATATAGTATAACGCGCGTTCGAAACTTTTAAATAAATGTCGTCCGCGGTGATTTCGTACACACTTATCGTATTTATCGTCTCCGGTCGATTTCGGCGAGTACCGCGGCAGCAAATTTCGATTTCGGCTCTAGACGAGCGACGTGCGATAATCAAGTCTAGCGATATAAAAATCATTTTTTGAGTCTTTTAAGTCGTTTTCGCATATATACACACACAATTTTTTTATGGTATTTTTACGATTTTTTCGGACATATAAATCATAATCGTACCCGTCTCGTTGTCACAATAACACATTCTCATCACAATTCAAATAAGCATAATTGTATATATTATACTTTAGTATATAACGATGCGTATGACTAATAATTCAAAACCAACACCAAAGAGATAAATACAAGTTATCGTACAGAAGTATATTGTTTGAATTCGAATTCCGTTAGATTTATGTATTATATGAATTGCCGTGGCACATTTCGCAGTACAATGTAATAATATAATTTATTGAAAGTCATTTTCTGCGAATTTTCATTAAAAAACCGTAGAACACTGAATATATTATTACATAATGCTACAGATCAATTCAAATAAACAATCAAAAAAATTAAAAAAAAAAAAAAAATTGGTCGAATGGTTCTGATTTTTCACCAATAGGGTTTCATTTCATTATGTACATGAATTATAAACTCGGTTTAGAAAGCTCTAATACTGTAATTAAAATTCATGTATTCGAACATGGATACAATTAATATTTATATTGATATTAATCGATTAAAATAGTTCCTTTTTTTTCTTTTTAGTATTCATACATATCCACGGAAATGCGTATAGAAAACCGATAACCGTAATTACTTTTAGGGACGTCGAAGACCCGTTCTGAATTAACATTTTCGTTTAATACCTGTAGTTTATAATGTAGAATGCCATTTATATATATTAAGCATTTCGCATATTTGAATAAAATAACCGGATTTGTTCGAATAGCTTTTGCGAAAAAGTTCCTGTTATTATTATTTTTAACTATTGAACTATAAAATAACAAAATAGTATCGATTTTTAAAGATGATTTTCAAATGTTTCTTTGATAATAACAGCACGTCGGGGTATACACATTGTTATCAATCAGCATACAAATAATATGACGTACCGAACTGACGGTATACCTTTAATCATGCCATTTGACGTTTTGTGATAATAACTGGATAAATAACGCTGTTTGTACCCCGACAATGCCAAATATATAAATAAATTACAATAATTGTCAATTTAAAAAAGCTACATCATCGACTGGTTTTATAATTAATTAATGAAATAATACGTTATGTTATTTTAAGCATTTATGAAAAAAAAATTAAAATATTTTAAAAAATAATAATTATTCGAGTTACGTTGAAATCAAAAACGTTACGGGGACTTTTTTGTAGAATGTTCAATCTAGTCGGCACGTGGATTGAGTAATTTTTCGTTTTTTTTTTTTCTTGTCGTGTTTATAAATGTGAACAATTGGCAAATTTTTGTACTAGACTTTTATTAAATTCTATGTTGGTCCTTGGTAAAAAAGACGAAAAACTACGACTTATAATACTATATCAGCTATTATGAATCATTTCTTATTAGCAATCAACTGCTACGTCGGGTACTCTCCGTCCTAATTTGCGCTACCCGTCAGAATTACAGTTTTTGGGGGGAGCTTGGTGCCAAGGATAATAAAGGACGGATAGGCCATTTTGCCTTATCGCACGTTTCCGAAAACGCTGTCCTAAAATACCTTTTTTTTTTATTACACGATACTTACAAATGGAATGACGAGGCCATGTCGTCCATCACTGACTGAAAATAACGCAACGATGAACCATTATAATATACAAAAAGAAATTGGTGGGAAGTTAAGAAGGTAGGATAGCAACGATAAACCATTGCTAACGAGAAAAAAAATTCTGAGTGAAGTTCAGCTAATGGCGTTGCTTTGTCTTGACTAATAAATATATATTGGAAATATTTTCCCATTTTCACGGTTTTTCCGGTTTTTCCGATATATTGATAAAACTCCTGAGGAAATCAAAAAAATAATACTAATCTTCTTCGCTCCACTTGGAGATTAAAAAAAATGCGTTGTATTTTTTAACTTATATCTATAAGTATATACATTTCGTATATTTTCCGTTTTTTTCCCATTTATTGAGAAAATTACAGAGAAAATCAAAAAATGACCTCACCGAGGTCCTTAAATTTCCTTTCGGAAAAAGTGCTGCAGTAGCGGAATCGGAGTAATATTTCTCGTGGATAAAATTGTTTTCGAAAAAAGAAATGATAAACACAATTGTAAAACCGTAAGTTTCTTCGCCGCACTCGGAATCTCTAAAAATAATCGCGGTAAAATAACAATACACCGTAACAATAACTATACCGGTCGACGACGATCGAAATCGTCAACCGAACGATTGACCGGTCGTGCAGGAACGGGCCCGTCCGTTTTTTCGCTGTCCGTGCTCGTCGCGCTGTGTCGACCGCCGTGCACCGCACCCGTCGATTTCGTCAACGGCCGTAACGACAATAACACACCCGGCGTACAGGGTGTACCGCGACCGCGCCGGCCATTGACGCGCGTCGCCGCCGTCGCCGATAACAGCCGTGCCACGTGTGCGTATGCGTATAACGGTACCGACGCGCGAACGTGAAACTACGGTAATAACGTTATTGTTACGCAGGTACGCGCACGCGCGCGGGCGCCGTTATAACGATAATAATAACAATGACAATAACAATAATGACAATGATAATATTTTACGGCTCCGCGCGGCCGTTTTCAGAAACAAACGCTGATATTAAATATTATTATTGCTGCAGTTGCCGTTATCGTTACGCGCGCGTGTTAATTGCCGTTATGTACCTCTACACGCTCGCGCGCGCCGAGTTGTCGCAGGCGCGCGCGGACACGCCCCGCGCAGTTGTATTAAATTCTAACGGCCACCCTCCCCCCTTCCCCCCCACCCCCGAGGACGACGGTACGGGCGTAACGACGATATTATGAAATACATACGGCGCGAACGGGTTTTTGTTTTTTTTCCCCGACCCAAATATTCCCACGTCAAATGTCGGGTATTTTTTTTTTTTTTTTCAATCTCGGTTTAGATCGTCCCGGGCGGGTGTTCGTGTCGGTTTTACTTACCGCTATATATTGTTATGGCGCGTGCGATTTGTTTTCGACTTCTCCGCCAGAAATTTTGTTACAATCAAAAAAACGACAAGAGGGTACGTATGCATTGCCATTTGGTGCATTTAGGAAGTGTTTCTTTTTTACTTTTCTAATGAGTTTATACTTATGACCGGGAATGACCGGAGAAAAAAGTAAGTAAAACAAAAAAGTTTACGAAAATAAAGTTTCCGTTATTCTCGAGTTTAGTGTAATTCTATTCGATTTTTGGGTTTTGCTCTGTTCGAGGTTTTTTTTGGATTTTATACAGTTAAACAGGTAAAATGTTTTGTCCAATTAAAAATGTTTATAATGTTCATACAGAGTTTATTATAACTTGTATTTAGTTGGAGAGAAATTAAGTTTTTTTTTTTTTTTTTCTGTAAGCCAAGTTCAAATTTTGAAAATCGTAACAATGACAGCATATTGAAACACGTGTAATCGCACTACGATCAGAATCGTATTTATTCAGCAATCGTTGTTTATGATTATAAATTAAATAACTCTGTGTATCCTTTCTGTCCACATTCTACCTAGAACAGTGACACACCGATTATCAGTATCAGATTTTTTTTTTTTTGTTTTTACCTAATTAGAATTTTTGTCGAATCATTCCTAAAATCTGAGACTTGAGACTTTTTTTTCTTCTATTACTGTGGATACATTTTTTCCTAGTAAACTTGCTCCGATTTGTACGTATAGCAATTTTTCTGAAAGCTCGATTTGCCTAGATTGTATTTTAAATAAATCATTTTTTTGATTTTTGACGCCATTTTTTAAATAAAAACACTTAAGTGGGAAAAATACGTAGGAAAACGTACAATATCACGATTTCATTATTTTATAAATACTCGGACGACGTTTTCTACCAGAAAAAATGATTTAATCGAAAATCACAGAATACCTTATTTGTTTCCTATTTGATTTACTTTCTTACGGTATCATCGCTAAATCTTTTGAGTTTTTAAGGAACTTTAATTTTTGAGAGGTTTTTTACTGCAATTAGATTATAAATATACGTGGAAGCTTAAACCTTAGTAATACTACTTATATTGTATTTACTTAGACGTGGTAAAATTTCTAAAATCATCGGACGACGTTTTTCTTTTATAAGTGTTCTGAAATCAAATTTAAACGAAAATCACAAAAAAAATTATGGCACTTCAAACTATGTATTACCGAACTGCACTTGAAATCGTCTTTCATCAAGCAATGGTTTATCGTTGATTTCAGATATAAATGAAATAAACCTTATGTATCTTAACTTCCGAACATCCTACCTACAATAGTGGCCGCTCCCATCTTCAGTATCAGCTCTTTTTTAGTTTACTATATTATTTTATTACTAATCGCATGATTGCAGTAGAGCCTGTCAATACTTTCACATGTATCCGGCCTAATATTCCGCAGAAATCGAAGAAAAAAAAAATGATTTTAATTAAACGAAAACATTTTTTTTTTTTTTTTATCAATAATATTTTGAATCTTATAAATATTTGAACTTGCAGTCGCTACTGCATTTTAGTGGATTAGGCTTGCACTTGGGGATAACACTTCAAAATAACGCACCGGTTACAATACCTCATGTTAGAAAAAAAAAAAAAATATTGTCGTTTGGTCAAACTAAGGTGATGGAGAAATTTGCACATAATATTTTCTTTATGCAAATACATCGATTTTGGTCATTTTAAATCCGCGGAACCTATGGAAACAGTGAAATTATCTAATGTTTGAATATAAATTGCTAAGAAACCTAATCGGAATGTCGTTTTCCAAATGCACGAGAAAAACTGTCAATATTTCGTATAATTTTTATAGGTTTCTGGGTTACCTTGGTAACAAGGGGAAACATACCATACAGCTAAAATAATATTCTGCTCTCTCAGAATCGTTTGTCGTTAGTAATGGTTTATCGTTATTTACAAATCTAAATTAAATAAATTCAATTATTCTTCCCAACGTTCCACCAGCAACACTGGCGTACTCATCAAAAGTATCGGTTTTTTGTCACCCTGCATTTTGTGTACTGCACCGAAAAGGGCGAAAAGCTTGGCTACCGGTGTCGTCATTGTGTGTGTGTGTGTGTGTGACATAAAACCGATTGAACGTTGTTATACGGGTCATCGTAAAACGCACACCTCTGTTTTCCGAACGCATACCTATATAATATATAATACGTAATAAAAAATTGTTTATTCGAAAATTATTAAATCAGCCGTGGGGTGTATTATGGCGTTTTTATATTTATTTTTTTTTTTTTTTTACTACAAAGTTTATAATATTATTATACTATTATAATATAATATATGAATACGCGACGGCGAAACGTAATGTTTTATATTATACGTAGTATAATATGTTTGGTAACAGTCCGAGAGCGCTCCAATAAAAAACAAACAAAAAAAAAAAAACGAGAAACATATTAACATTTACACCGTCGTCGCGTTGCCACCTATATCGTCGTAAAAAAGATGACGACGCGTGCATATATAAAATAATAATATTATACACTGTTACATTTTTCACGCCGTAAAACTCAAAATATAAATAAACCGAACGTTTTTTTTTTTTTTTTAAAGCCACCTAGCTAACTTGTTGTATTTATATTACAAACCAACGAATTTCGAAAGAAAAAAACAATAGGTTAAAATATAAAAAAAAAAAAAAACCAAAACTGCTAAATTTCATGATTTTTCCAAAATTTGAGCTTTAAAAGTCGCTGCGTGGCAGCGGATTTATTATTATTTTTTTTTTTAACAGTATTTTATGAGAAACTTTGTATCGAATTTTTAAGCATGTTTGAGAAGCCAAAAAATTTGAATCTACACAAAATCAAATAAAAAGTAAAACAATTCGAAAATTTCGAACACCTATAAAAAAAATTCTAATACAAAATAGTTATTATACATTATTTAATTATTCGATGGAAACTTTAGGTTTCTTTAATATTTTAGTAATTGAACTAAAATAAAAAACTAAAATCGAAATTAACAGACATATCTATTTTCCGGGTTTTTCCAATCAGTAAATCTAATTACGTAATGACCTCCCAATGGAAGTTATGACAATTTAAGAACATTACTTTATTTATGTATTTACAAAAATTTAACTTATTATCTGGTATTCGTAGTTAAATATTTATTTGTAGAAGAAAAAAAAAAAGGTTGGGATTCTCTTTATTTCATTATGAAAAAAATATCACTTTTTAGATGCAAAAAACGGCTTCCATATTGTTTAAATCTTAGACTATGTTAGGTTGTCAAACACTAATAAATTTAATTTGAATATTTGAATATTTGTATTATTTGTTATGGTGATAATTTTAAATTTTGTTTTTCAAAAATGTCGTTGAAATCGGTCATGTTTACGCAATCTCTTAAACATCCAGCCGTTATGTATTAAACTACCCTTACGAAATCCGGATTTTTATTAACACGTTCTAACGATGTTTACATATAATGTATGACATTCATGAAACCCGGAAATTTTCGATTCAATGTTAAAAATCGATTTTCGAATTTACGACTGGAAATTTGTTGCACGACGTTTATCATATCTGCTCCCGAACTCCGGTAGCTGTGATAACAAAAATCCGAGTGCAAAGAATAATTTTGATTTTTTTTAAATTTTAAGCGATTTAATTGCTCGGACTCAAGCTTTATTATTATAAGAATAAAAAATTGTTTATACTATATGTATATCAATATTGTATTGATATCATAATGTATTATCAATATTAATTTATAACACATTGATCATATTATCGTACTTTCTGTCCAATCATAGTGTTTAATGTGGCCAAATATTTAAATAACGGTTATATTGTGATTCTCGGCCTTTGGGGAAAACGGCTTTGACGTTTTTATAATGTATTTTATTCGAATGCAGTGTTCGCGTTCGCGACCACGGGGCTTTTAAAATTGTTTAATAAATTACTAATAACGACGCGGCGCGATTTAATTAATTATTAAATATCACGATAAGCATCGTAAACATTAATTCACAAAATAACGTTTGTTTAAAATACTAAAACAAACATTCATCCGTAAATATTAGATTACCGTTAAACGAGTCCCTATTTTCTCTTTTTGAATAAATCACCGGATTTTCGGAAAAATTATCACGCCTTCATTCCGATGATATTCGTCTGTAATACCGCAGTCGTATCTATATAGTGTCTTGCATTTAATGCGGTTTTTATAGAAACATTACGTAACGCGATGTGTTTTTAGATATTTTTTTTGATTCGAAAATAGCATTTTCACTTGTGGACATGAAAATAGATTACTAACAGGGAAAAAGCCACAAAATACCAACGCGAGGATTTTAAAATTATTATTCGAAAATTAAAATTTGGAAAAAGGAGTCTGAATCGGTAAGAATCGTAATGCAAATAAACGTATTAGGAAAGAGGAGAAGAGAAACACCAAAAAAAGTGGTTGAATGCAATAGAGAACGAGACGAGGACATTGAGTGTATGTGAGGTGAGGGATTATATCAAGTGAAAGTTTAGAACGAGGATGGCCGATCTCAAATAGTTACCATAAAAGCGGAAGAGAAGAAGCAGACAATTTTAAGTTGGCGAGAAAATTTTTTTAAACATTTTTCAATGATAATTGTATATTCTGTAAATAAGGCCTGATACATTTTTATGAAAGACTATATTTTTTCAATTAAATACGCAAAAAAATCAAATTACCTTTATTTGTTCATTTTCAACCCATTTTCGGCACGTCAATCAGCTATCATCACCGAATTTCTCCAAAAATATTCTTTCGTATTGGCGTACAAAATTAGGTGGGAGTACTCAGTCAAAATTATCTACCTTTTTTTTCTCTGTCCATAAAATAAAAACCACTGTAATGTATGTAAAAAAATGAAAAAATTACATTTTCGATTATTACGAAAATATACGTATTTTTTAACGTATACAGTACCTATACTTATTTATAGTCGTTTTTTTTTTTTTTACAAAGAGTATAATCGATTCCAGTTGTATAAAAATTCTGAATGCTATAATAATATTACGCTTGCATTATATACGAGATCGTATAATATGTTCTTTAGCACAAACTACTGAAGTCTGCAGAAGAAAAACGAAAAACAAAATGCTACGTGACCTGCATGGTTTAACGATTATAGAAAGTTTATTTCCAATTACAAATGTAGTACACTAACTTTTATATTATACCGTCTCTACTTTTTTTATGCGCCTTATAAAATCCTTATTGATCGTATTTTTTAGATTCTGAATGTAGTGCCGAAGAAGCTATTAGTTTTACTACCTATAAGATATTATGTTTTCTCTCACTAAAAACCCTTTTTCGAATAGTAAAAATGTTCGGATTTTTCACACAGTACCTTAAAAAAATCCGTACTTTTTATGATGATTTTGATACATTTTCTAATTTTTCCATTTTTTTCGGGTCTTTTCTCCTGATATTTTTCCGGTTTTAATGGACATTTTTCGACGTTTTGTTTTCTAAATCCCAGTCTATAAAATATACTAAATTATGTTTTATGGTATATTCGGCAACCATATAGTCAATATTGGTCGGGAAATCGTCTTGGTGATGGTTTTGGTATTATTGTAGTAAGCTTTATACGGTATTATTACAAACAGATAAGTACGTTTTAAAAAATATTCAAGTGGGCGTGCTACATACTGTAATTCCACTATAAAAACCGCTCTGCGTGGGCTGCAGACTTAATTTTCTTTTTTTATTCCCCTTAACCTTATACCAACAGTTTGGCCACCCTCATTGTAAACTTCTACTTAATCAAATCTCTTACATCATCATCCTCTTCTTTCCTTCTACTTTTATTTCTATTATCATTCTTATTGCTTTCGATAAATTATCCCTCATAACATGTACAAACCATCTCAGTATATTTTCTCTAATTTTATTTACTATAAATGCCACGCCTATGTATGGTCTTATATACTCGTTATCCCATCTTCCCTCGTCACTCATCACCGCTACAATTGTTCTCCGTTATATTTTTCTATATACCGTCCAACACGTTGAACCATACAACATAGTCGGTCTCACCATACTCTAGTAGAACATTCTTTTAGGTTTCATTGGAATTCTCAT